ATTCTTTCATTTAGAACACAGTTTCCATTATAATAGCCAGCGTCACTTCTGTTTTTAAAACAATTGGTTATATGTGCATTGCCAAATTATGGGTCTGCAGGATATTATCATAAGCGAAGACAACGGCAAGCCGGCTCTGAGGGATCTGTGATACAGAGGCTGGTGTCCTGAGGACACACAGTCTAAGGGTCATCGTGTCCTGCTCTTCCAATGCCTCGCAGCGGGCTGAGGCATCCTCTTTTCTTTCCAAACGTTTTGGGTGCAGAGGTTTTTTCTAGGGGCTTGGCAGCCTGGGCAGTGTGAAGCACTTTTGGCTCCCCAGAGCTCTGGCTCTAGCTCAAGACCCCTGACTGCCAGGCACCAGTCCTGCGCTGAGGACTCCACAGTGCCCTGGAGTGCATTCGGGTGATCTCCTCAGCTTGGCACCAGATGCAGGGGTCACCCACCAAACAGAGGAGCTGCAGAGAGAGCAAATAAGGCACCACACCACTAGGACAGTCAGCCAGGAAGCTCCTGTAGTGATAGGTGGAGATGCGGTTGAAGATGAGGAGTGGGTCAAAGGTCTGCGCTGCACAGGGCGGAGTCCTGGACCCACAGCCATGAGTGACGCCCACAGCACTGCTTCCAGAGCAGCCCGGACGCTGGGGCCAGGTGCCAGCCCAAGCAGCTTCCTGGAAGGTTCTCAAGCTCAAAGTCAGTGACCGCTGGTGCCCAGGAACGCTGGGCCTTCAGAGATGCCCCCAAAGGACACAACGGCCCCTGAGCAATCTCACTGCCAGCCTCACCTCCCTTCCAGTCCACACACCCCCAAAACTCATGTGGATGCTGTGACCTGGCGAGGTGAACTTGGGATTGGGCACTGTGAGGTCATGAGGTGGAGGCCCAGGACGATCGCTTTCTCTGTAAGAAGCAACCCAGAGCTCTCTCCACACACAGGGACACAGCAAGAGGCTGCCGTCTGTGCCTGGGAAGGGCCCGCGCTGGGAAGGGAAGCCACAGCATCTCAGTTGTCACTGTCCATTCTCGGGAGCCATGAGAGAGTGCCTGGCACTCGTGTGGCACTCGTCACAGCAGCCCACACGGAGGGACGCGTCACCAAACCACACCGCAAACAGGTGGAGACCAGAAGAGTCGAGGATCGCCAGCTGCAGCCGCATCCTCGAGTCTGGGGACACGGCCCCACCCACCCCGGCCCTGAGCTGGCAGGTGTGACACGAGCAGGAGCTGGGGCCGTGCACCTGGGCCCGCCTCGGGAGGAAGAGGCCTGCCCTGGTCCTCACGTCACCCCACCAAGCAGCATAGGACAGCAGAGGAAATAAAAGCAGCCATGCGCTGCCCAGTCTGGGGCTCCCAGCGAGCTCCGCCAGGACGAGCAGAGGTGAGCCAGGGTCTGTGGTCCCTGTGCTGAGCCCGCGCTGTGCACGGAGCGGTGCTGTGGGGAGCATGACCACTGCCCACCGCGGGAGCCATCACCCTCGAGCAGCGACCAGCAAGCGCAGGCTCAGAGGGCTCAGTGTCCACACGGGTCATCCGGGGCTCTGGGCAAGCCGAGCTCTCAACAGCGCACAGCCAGCCACTCAGGACTCTGAAAACGCACGAGGGAGCAGCCAGCTGTCTGCTTCCTGCTCTCCACAAAATGCAGTGGGAAGCCCCAGGTGCTGTGTACAGACAAACTGCTCCACGCAGCGGCAGAGGGCAGAGCTCGGGGAGCAGGGGCCACTGAGAGCCTGGGCTGGGCACCGTCCGGGGCGGGGCTGATGCCAGGAAGGAGGGTGACTTAACCATTTCCATCCTTTTATATTTCCATTGTTTGAGTTCTCTAAAATGAGCGCACATTGTTATATTATTTTGTGAAAAATAGAAATGAAAAAATTAAATGCAAATATTCTAGAATGCTAACAGTGTTAGTTTGGGATATTGGGAATAAGACTGTTTTTCCTTTTTTTTCATTTTGCTGAATTCTGAGAGAACTCGTTCATTTAAAAAGAGCTGTGAAAAGTGCTTCCTCTCCCACCGGGACTCCATCTCAGAAGACACAGCGAGGAGATCCCCGAGGAAGGAGGATGGAGGCATCTCTGCCCTCAGAGCCGGGGAGGGGCCCTTGCACCCTCCCCAGCCAGACAAACTGGCACAGACCAAGGGCTCCCTAAATTCCCTTCTGGTTCTAATGCTGCATGGAAATATAAATGCAAGGCAATGTTGCATAAAATTCTGGCTAACGGGCAGCAAAGAACAACGTGGAAATCCTTTGGCTCCAGTCTTCCCAGGGCTGGCAAGAACATCTTCTAGTCAGAATCACTTGAAGCAGTTGCTGCAGAAGAGACCACACAGCCTAGCTTCCCCGTGGGGGCCACGCTGGACAAGCGGCCCCGTGAGCCAGGGGCAGTCCCTGTCTGAAGTCACATCCTAGGTGGTTCTGATGAGGCCATCAGGGACCAGAGGTGGGGCCAAAGGCAGGGACAGCAAACAAGACCCCTGGGCACTGTAAACTCCGACCCTGGGCAGCAGGACATTTGCCACTCTGCCCGTGATCTGCTCCAGACCCTGATAAAATCAGAAGCAGACTCTTTTCACAAAATGAGGAATTTTACCATGAAAAACTCTAAATAATTCCTCTAGCTTCAGCTGCTACTGGTAGGCTTAGAAATCAGAAGCTTAAATATTTTGTGGTTTCTCTTACGTGAAATACCTGAAGTATAAATAAATTAAGGAGTAAAATAAAAGATAGATCACAGGAAACAAGGAGGAAATCTTTTGCAGACAGGAGCGGAGCCCAGAGCGGAGGGAGCAGCCGGGGATGAAGGTCAGCTGAGCTGTGTCGTGTCCGTGTCTGTGACCAGCCCCACCGCGAGCGCGAGCGTGAGCACGGTATGTTGCAAACACGAGCTAAGGAACTTGTTAAAACACGCAGGCGTCACGCAGCCCAGCATCTGCTGCGGGTCCCCGCGAGCTTGCTGCAGAGCGCACCTCTGATGCCTGGATCTGAGGGCCGTTGCCCTGTTACTTCCCAGGGACCGGAGGCCACTCTGCTGAGCGCGCTGGCTGTCCCAGGCCCGTGGACAGCAGGTGGTGACAGCAGGGGCATGAAGAGCCGGCGTCTGTCTGCACTGCACATTGGTCTGTCCCCTTCGCTGCCTCCACCTTGGGGTCAGGTTCTCACGCCCCCATAGGCGTGTGATCGAGAGCCTTGGAGCTGGTGCGCTTCCCCGTCCTTCCTTCCTGCCTACTTCTCCACCCTGCCAGATGTCTCTTCAATAGCCACGGCAGCCCAAGCCCCTTCGGCCCCTCATCCAATCATAAGCCCAGTCCAACACACAAGGCCAGAACGATGGTGCTGGATCCCAGAGTCATTCGGTGACTCCCAGGACAAGCTGGACACGGCCACCCAAGAAAAAACATTTTTGGAACAGTGCCCCGGCCTTGGAAACTCACTGGCACTAACGGACCCTCTCTCTGCTCTGTGAGCAGCGTGGCCCCACTCTCCATTGCAGCTGATGCTATTGGCAAAGCTCCTCCCAGGGAGGCTTTGTTTCTGCTGGGGTGTGTGTGTGTGTGTGCACGCGTGTGCATGCGCATGTGTACACAATACTCAGCTCCATCTCACTTCTGCTGTGTCCCTGCCCATAGCTCCCATCCAGCGAGGCCATCACTCTCCCTCCTTGAGCAAACTTCGGCCAGGCCCCACTGAGCCCTCCTCTGCACCAGGCCGTGGCATCTGTTCTGGTTTCTCTAGAGATTCGCCTAGAGCCCTCTGCACTCACAGGCAGGGAATTTGGAGGTACTGGATCCTGGGGCTCATAGCCCACTGGTGGTGAGCAGGCGGGGCCTGGTAGGAGGAAACCAGGCACCTGCTGGGAAGAGGCAGGACCTCACGGGGCCTGGCGGGAAGAGGCGGTCCCTGGGCAGGGCCTGGAAGCTCTATCTCCCTCCTGGCTCCTCCCTTCTCTCTGCTTCCTGACTGCCCTGCCCTGAGCAGTGCTCCTCCACCAGGGCCCTGCGCCCTGCCCTCCAGCTTCGGAGCCGGCCCACCAGGGACTGCATCATGAGCCACAGTAAGCCTCGCCGCCTTTGAGCTACAGGTGTCAGGTGTTGTGTCTCAGTGACAAGGAAACAAAGACATCAGCTCCTGGGCCTGCCTCTGGTGGAGCCGTATTGGGCTAGGGTGGTGGGGTCCCTTCCTGGAGCCAGGTGCTGTCATTAGGTTTCTTGGACTGGTTGTGCAGACAGCTGGGGGCAGAGCTCTATAGGTGTGTGCGCTGGCCTTGGCAAGGTGGAAGAGCACTTTGGACCGCAGAGCATGGTCCCTGGGCCTGTGCCCTGCTCAGAGCACTGGCACCAGGGTACCTGCAGTGTCCTTTCTGCTCCACATGTCTTCACGGACACCCCAAAGTTTAACATGGTCTTCTTATCCTTGAGGTAAATTGGCTACCATGACATCTACCAAGAAAACCTAAATAAAAATATGCTTTCAGGTCCCACATCAGAAATAAAGAGCAAGGAGCCATCTATGCTGGGGGCTTACAGGGTGCTGGGGGCCCTGTTGGCCTGGTGTGTCCAGAGGCACATCTGCTCCTGACCCACACGGGCTGTGCTTGGAAGACTGTCCTCCAGGATCCAGTCCTGCCCAGCCCAGGTTGAACCAGTTGCCGCTATGGCCTGGGACACTGGATGTGGCCCAGGACTGGTGGGTCCAGATGAGCTGGGCTGTGCCCATCTGTGCTCAGAGTCCTCATCAGCATCCTCCCCTTCAGTACTCAAGTCCTGGGGTGAGAGGGCCGCAGGACAGGTGATGGGACGGAACTGAGGAGGGTCTCAGTCCCCTCCACACCTACCCAGGCTGGGCTTGACCCCAGCTCACTTCCTGTCCTGATGTCACAGGTCCCTGATAGGACCCCAGCTCACTCCTGTCCTGACGTCACAGGTCCCTGACATCACCCAGCTCACTTCTTGGTCCTGAGGTCACAGTTCCCTGATGCAACCCCAGCTCACTTCCTGTCCTGATGTCACAGGCCCCTGACATTCCATGTATCCTGGAGACCAAGAGGAAGACATTCCTCCTTTGGTGAAGGGAACATGGCAGCAAATAGAGGAACAGGGACCCTCTTCCTGCTCTTTCTGCTGTCCTGCTGGCCAGAGACCAAGTTGCAGCTGACAAAAACGACCTCAGGTAGAGTCCCACAAAGACTTACAGACAGAAACCATGGTTGATGGCCTTCGCCTCCCTCTCTCCCCGTGGGGTTGGCTATTTCCTCCTTGAAGAATGGAGGGAGGGGGAAGCTGTCTATCTTCAAAGCCCTTGTAAAGTTTATAACCCTACAGAAGAGCAGTGCATGTTCTGTATTTTAGCTTGTACTATGGAAAGTTTCTAACTTACCCTAAAACGGAGGGAGACTATCACAAGCCTCCACGAACTCATCCTCGTTTCAATAATTGTGCGCATTTCACCATCTTGTTTTTCCTGTTCTCTCTCACACACCCCATGTGTGCACATGCACGGGCAGACATGCTTTTTTTTCATTTTGAAAAGTATTTTAGCACTGTCCCAGATGTCTTCGCACTTCGTGTAAAATGTTTCCTTGTTCACAGGTAAAGGCATTGTTTCTTTATATCCATAGCATCATTATCACACTAGCAAAATTGACAAAATCCTTTACAGCAGCTAATGATGATTAAAGAAAAAATATCCCCAACACTTAAGACATGTCAAGGTGGGATTTATTCAACAGTGGAGACTATAGGGAGCTCCCACAGGCACCAGTGGAGACAGACAGCAAGGGCCAGGGTGGGCAGTGGAGACCGTTTCCTGAAGGTCCATATATTGATCAGCTTTCATGTTGCTGTGGTACACACCTGGCCCCTACAACATAAAGGTGGGAGATTTACCAGCTCAGTTTCAGAGGACTCAGTCCATGGTCAGCGGCTCCAAGGCAAGGATATCAGGGCAGAAGGGCATGGGGGAGTAAAGCTGTTCCCTTCACAGTGTCTAGAAGTGGAGCAGGAGAACAGTGCCTCCATGGCATGGCCCAGTGACCTCCCGCAGCTGTGCCCACCTCCCAACAGCACCCTGGGCTGTGCACGTCCCTGCGCTCATCACAAATGTGCACGGGTCCACATGATGCAGGCAGCTCTCAGGAGTCGTGCATCCAGGCGTGTGGACAATAAAGATTACCTGGCACAATCAGATGAGTCTTGGCCAGCCAGGTGCATAAGATCTGCTGGAGGAGGCCAAGGTGGCCAGACCTCATGGCACTCACAGGAGGCTGGGGGTTTCCTGAGCAGACTCCTCAAGACTCTTGCTGCAACTGGGAAAAATAGGTCCAGGTGGAGCCAGGGGTCAAGGCCTCAGCCAAAGATGCCTCTGGAGTACGGCTGGAGGGGCGAAAATGGAAATAGAGTCAACCGTTTGTGTCCCAGGCACCAGACACTCCTTTCCTTTGAAGGCTAAAGCCCCGCTTTGCTTCCTGGTGTACACAGTCAGGCTTTCAATGAGGGGATTTCTAAGAAAGGAAAAAGAAAACAGAGCTGGCAGTTGGACCAATTTCCTGAGGCCAGAGGGCACCCGTGGGAAGATCTCTAGATGCCAACTCCACACTGCTTGGGCTGCCAAGCGAGGTGGGCTTGACTTCCACCAGGCTCCTAGTCCCTGGCGATGCGTGGACAGCACAGCCGCACCCATGCTCTGCTCAGAGCAGCGTGGACACCACACTTCTGCTCGCTGGGCCTCCGCTGACCCAACGGAGGGGAGGAGAGGAGGACAGAGTCACAGCTGGACAGGTGGGAACCTCAACTGCTGAACACAGCTTGGCCCACAGTGAGGGCAGAGGAGAAAGGAAGATGAGGTTTACCAGGAAGTAAAGAGGAGGAGGAAAAGAATGGATGCTTAAGAGAATTCGACGCCCTACAGTTTTTCATTAAAACATAAAATATATCTTAACTGTCATCCTCCTTTTGATCAAAGATAACCAAAGCTATTATCTTCTACAAAACACTCTGTCTCGCTGGACATGGCCCGATTGCTCCCATAAACGTGGCGAGAGTGGCCACCAGTGCAGTATTTGGCTCTGCGTGGCTGGTACTTCCGCTGCAGAATCCCAGGCCAAGCTTCTCAGGCCACAAGGGGAGGAGCCAAGGACTTGCTGTGGGGACAAAGACTCGGTGAATGCCTTCCTCCCAAGGCTCCCAGACCTGCCAGGAGCTGGCCTTCGTCACCCGCCTAAGGTAGGGGCCTGTATGCCCACAGCCAGGCCAGCGTGTGCAGGCAGCCCAGTGGCCACCGGCCCCAGCAGGACAGCCTGCACTCCTCTGCCTGTCACTCTAAGTGGGGTCATTGAGTCTGAGCCTTGGTGTTTGGATTGGTCATATTTTTGTCACTGGAGCAAGTACCTGACACACAACATAGAAGGAGGAAGGGCATTTTTAGCCCACAGCTCCAGAGCATTCAGTCTGTGGTCGGCTGCTCCAAACAGAAACCCTGTTGTGGGTGGCACAGTGGAGGGAAGCTGCTCACATCGTGGCGGCAGGAAGCAGAGGTGGGGAGAGAGCTGGGGAGGAAGGAGCCAGGGACCAGATATAGTCCCCAGAATCACACCCACGGCCCCCCAGGCACACCCAGAATGCTCTGAGTTCTCCTACGCGTCTCTCACGTCAATCTCGACCACCAAGATCCACCCCCACAAGGCCGTCACCAGCATCCTGCCCTGTTGTGGGGATTCTAGGTTCCTGCTGAACTCGTGCAGATCTGGCCAGGAAAATCAGAACTGGATTCTGGAAAGGTCGGATGGGAAGAAACAGAAGTGTTTCGCTGTGTGTACAAAGTGTGATGCCAAAGTCCTGCAAGTTACGGATGCTAAGAGAAAAGGGGGGTTCTTTGAATCCGGAAAACAAAATCTTAAAGAACTAGAAAAGTTGAAAAAAAAAAAAAACAACTTATAAATGTATGATTGCCTGGCCAATTCCTTCAGTCCCGGGTGATGGATTCTGTTGTGCTGGCCCTCAGATTGATGACTTTGTGAAGCCACCAGCTCCTGAGAGTCTGGAAACATGCTCAGCCAGTGCTGTAATCCTAGGTTCTCAGCAGCCTCAGTCAGACCCTTCTTGGAGTCTCTTCCCTGAATCTTCTCAAAGCTGAAAGTTTGGGGAATTTAGCTGATTGCAGGAGCTTTCAAAAAAGTGTCAGAATAAAATAATATTTGTCTTAGTCATCACTGAGACACCGTACCTAACACCAGAAGCTTAAAGAGGGAGGGGTTTATTTTGGCTCACAATCTGTGGAAGTCTCAATCCATAATCTTTGGACCAGGCCCCAAGGCAGGGGGTCTGGCAGAGGAGAGCTGCTCAGGGCATGGCAGACAGGAAGCAGATGGAGAAAGAGAAGTCAGGAGAGAGATGGAGCTTCCAGGCCATGCCCCAGGTGTCCCACCAGGCCCCACCTCCTAACGGCAGTCAGCTCTGAGCCTTCATAATCTGATTACCTTCTAAAAGCCCCACCCATGAGTTCATCGGAGCAACAGCATAAGACTTGTCTGTGCAAGACAGAGGCCTTAGAATGGTCACACCTGAAGATCTAAGAAAAGTGTATTGCAGAGCCACCAACAAAGAGATCCGACTACTCCCGAGCATTTTATGATGCTAACTGAAATTACAACTGATGACATTATACCAGGATATACCTCAGTCAGTAAGGAAATGAAGAACTTTGTACAACTTTTGAAAGCTTATACACATACAAATGTACCATAACGAAGGTACATTTCTTGTACTTCTTGTTTGACAAAACTTCATAATTCAACATCAAATAGCCGCAAGCTAATTAGTTTAACATCGATTTTTCATACAATGAACAAACAAATCCTTTGAGATTTCCCAGGGCTCTAGGAGATTCTCAAAATCAGCCTGAGGTCTCAAAGTCTTCATCTAGAACTTGATTGGAGAAGTTGTCAAAAAAGTCAAAAAGTTTGAATACCTGCTTGAATAGGATCATGGGTTACTATAAGGTAATAGTTATCCTTTTAACCAAAATGACAATAAAAGATTTTAAAGGCAAATAGAGAAAGCAACATAGTTGTTTAAAAAGAAAAACAAAAAACAAACAAACAAAAAAAAAAACCAGAAAAAACCTAGCTGTCTTGAGGTGAAGACTGCTTTCTTAAGTAATCAAAAACACGACACAGGAGACATGCAGCACAGGAGACGATTTCGGAAAGAACAGAATCTGTGTTTGCTAGGAAGATAACTCAACGGAAAAGAAAACCCTTTAGGGTCTGCTATTCAGAAGCGGCCAATGCCCCAGGGCGGTGCCATCCTTCCAGCGGGGCTGCAGCCCGTGACAGGTGTGCCAGTAATCTGCTCGCCGGCCCTGCTCCAGCCCAGGAGATCTGGGCGTTGTTATCTCTTTTCTCCTCATAGACCCTCTGCACAAGGCAACACCCATCTAGGCTTCAGCCCTTTGTCAACCAAACTTCAAGCTATTTCAGGGCAACAGCAGAGGAGCGCACGCTTTCCTCACAGCTTCCTCAGCAAGGACATGTTCTCCCCATGCCCGGTTTCCTCTTTACCTTTGCCGCTTCCTATAGTTTATGTGTGTGAATTATAATTTCAACAGAGAACACTGGAAAGCAGGCAGTTGCACATTACCTGTCAACACCAGTAGTCGTGACAAACTAGCAAAGCTTGTAGTTACACCATCTTACAGTTTTTAGAAACCCATTTCTCTGTAATTTTTCAGTGTAGCAAAGCAATTGTGTTTCTTAGCAGACCCACATGTACTTAGTCTCTCCATACCTCATAAAATAAGCAGCCAGAGTTTATCTAAACTTCAGCTTATGCTTAGCAACAAATGCTTCGATAATTTAGAAATCATCAGTGCCACTTAATTCATCATAAGGTGAAGGTTAGACACTGTCTCTAGGCAAACATTCTATAGAACACCAAACTACCCATGACCTAGTTAGTGCCTTGTGAGGTACTTCAACCCAGGGGCAGCACTTAAGACCTGCGGTTTTCTGGAACCAGCAATCTTAAACTAGTTTACTGACCACAGATTGGCCCAGATAAGTGAAAAACCTTTGGATTAGTTTCTGTACCTCTGGTACCTCTGAAAATATTTAATTTATATAAGCACTTAGTTTTCTCCAAGCCCATCTGAATAAATTTGAGGGATGTCATAAACTAACTCTGCAGTCCTTTCAAAGGTAGAAAAATGTCACATGTCCATAGCTCAAGTACACAGAGGAGCAGACAGACAGGCAGACACAAGATCTTAGACCCTTCCCTCTGAGATTCCAGTCACAAATCAGGCAAAACTATAATACAAAATTCACTAGTCTCTCTCCACTTTTATATTTTCATCAATTATAGAAATAATTTATAAACTTTATATAGTATGTTTCTGACAAAAATGGGGTAGTTTGAGTTTACCTATTCAGTAAAGGCAAAAAGTTTTTCATTTTTAACTGATATTTGTGGGGTGACTTTCCATATTTTCTCTTGCACTGTGCATAATCTTAGGAGGCTGTGGACCCCAGGACTAGCAAGTGAGTGGAGGGGACACCCATCTGTCTCCACTGGCCTCTGTCTGCCGCAGGTGGCTGATGTGGGGTGCCTGAGTCCCCCAAGCTATCAGAGAGGGCAGAGGTTGGAGCAGAAGCGAAGGCCACAGAGGAGAGGAGGGTGTGGTGTCCCTTGCACATCAACTGCACCCAGGAAGAAGCAGGCCAGGGGCCATCAGTGGGATCCCAGGGAAGGCTGCAGCAGACAGGACGTCCCGAGTGAGGGTGACAGCCTTGGCAGTCAGGAAGACCTGTCCATCCCAGAGCCATGGATTGCACCCCCTTAATAAACAGCTGGGAAGGAGGGCTCCTCTGGGACCTGTCCTAGGAGCCAGGCCTCAGTGAGGGCCCGGGAGTCACAGGGATCAGGGCCTCCCCCCACCTCCTGTCCACTGTGGAGGGCACTGCATCAGCTCAGCTGGTGGCCAGGTGGTCAGCCATATCAGTGGTGCTTACCAGGGCCGTAGGTAAGGGGATCGGGGCCCAGGGAAGACTCTGACCGCATGGGCAGAGGCACTACAGGTATCTGTGCATCTCACAGAGAAAAAGACATGGGCTGGGCTCAGACAACACCAGGACAGTCTTCAGGTGAGGGTCCGGGTGGCCACAGCCGCACCCACTGACCCCAGAGGACTGTGCTAAAGGCCAGCACTCGCATCCTTGGTGAGGATGGGGAATCTGGTCAGATGGACAGTGGCCGGGTGGAGATTGGGGGCTTCCCTGCCCGGACTCGGCAGGACTCTCGCTGACACCTGAGAACAGGCTAAGCCAGACCCTGGGCCTCGGCAGGAAGACGCCTGTGTGGAGGCCAGGCCCAGTGTCCTCTTCACTCACAGCCCCCCTGGTGCCCCACTGTCTCAGGTGACCCTTGTGGTGCCTCAGCTAGAGACCTGGTGGAGACCTCTGGCCACCCACATGGCCTCTGAGGGCAGAGTGGTCTCCTCACCCAGCTCAGGGACCCCCAGCTTTGGTCACTCCAGCTGTCCCCAGCATGGCTGTGGGTCCCTCACATGGAAGTGCTGGGCACCAAGGGGACAGACAGCAGCCACCGTGGCCTCCGTGGCCTCCATGCTGGGGAGGGCACTGTCTGTGCTCCCTATCCAACAGCACCGACGCAGGACCCAGCAGGAGCTGGCCGGGGCCCAGACCTGGCGGTGTCCTGACTGCGTCCTGACCGCAAGCGCCCTGCCATCAGGAAGCTGCGGCCCTCACGAAGAGGTGACCACAGGAAGCCACGGTGAGGCAGACGCCTGAGAGCGCACGTTCGCAGCCGCACAGTGCGGGGCACAAATGCTTTATGCGCGGCTCACGGCTGGCTCGCCCGGCGCCTCCATTGTGATTACGGGACAGACGTTCACTGAAAAGAATATTTTGAACAAACTGCTGGCACGGCGCAGCTGTACCCATTCTTAATGATCCATTAATGCCTCCTCCGAAGAGAACTGTACTTGCGCTGTTTCGTTTCCCGAGGTCAGCATACTGGGAAGCATTGTCACCGCCACCAGACCTCGTTACATATTTCCCGCATTGTTCCCAGGCACGTGTGCGGTGAAGCTATTGGCATGCAGATTGTCCGTCATTAAAGCCATTTGAAAATCAGCTTTGTCATTGGTTTGGCTGGAACTTCAGATTCTTGAAGACCAGATGGGCCTGAGCTCAAAGAGGCCAGGGCACCTGCCAGACCTGTCCTCCTGGGGCTGCCCGAGATCTGGGCGCAGGGAAGGGCTGACCTTGGCCTTGAGCCAGGGAGGTACTGGGACCCCGAGACCCACAGCTGCTCAGTTTGAGAGCTGGACAGGGCCAACCCTGGAGCCACGAGGTCTTCCTGCTCACCTCAAGCCTCCAAGCCCAGTCCATAGGCCTCCCTGTGGCCATCTCTCAGCTTGTGGGAGGCTCAGGGACTCAGTGTCTTCCAGAACAGGAGGTGGCACCCCCTGAAACCACATCCACTTACAGAGAGGTACAGTGAACAACTGCTGTTAAAATGTAGGGTTTTCATTCCAGTCACAAGTACAACTACCGGAGAGTCACTCAGCTCAAAAGCACAAGATATGCATGGAGTATTAGGTAAGAACCCTGTGCCAAGCATTGGGCTGTGGAGAAGCTGGGCCACACTGGGTGCTTCCCAAATAACCTGAGTTGCAGCCAGCGAAGGAATGGATTTGGTTTGCGGCCCTGTGCCTGTTCTGCCTGAGCCGGGGCTGACTGTGCTGTCGGGAGCTGGGCCGGGCCGGCGGGGAAGCCGTGGGCTGTGAACCGCAAGGGTGCAGCCTTCTCCCGGTCCCTCCTTTGTCTCTGTGTCCCGGCTGCATCTGCCGTGGGGGGAGCAGCTTCTCCTCCCTCTCCCTCTGCCTGGCTGTTTCTGCCCTCGAGCCGCTGAGCAGACGGAAACCGAGAGCCAAAACAAAGCTCTGCTCCTCCGAGCTCAGGGGTCCCACGCTGGGTCCCAGCTCTCAGCGAGAGGGACAGGGAGGTGGGCGGGAATCGCAGTCCCCCGGCCTGTGGCTTTAGTGGCTGAAGTTCCGGCGGATGTGGACTCTGAGGCCAGGCGTGGACTCCGGGACTGTTGGAGCTGACAGCACCCTGCAGCTGGCTCCTCGCAGTGAGGCCCCGGCAGGGTCCACGTTGGCCACCTGGAGCCCACTGCCCCCTCAAGCCCAGCCCGGCTTCCTCCTCGGTCTGCACTGAGCCAGGCTGGTGAGTGCGCTGCCCCGAGGGCCCGAGGCTGAGCCCTGGCCTCCTCCTCCTCTGCCCCGTTGTTCAGGGGACCTGGGAGGCTGCAGGGACACAGGCCAGCTCCTCAGGGGTGCAGCCGCTGTCACCTGGCAGTGCCTGACACACAAGTCTCCTAGCTCTCTGCAGGAGGTGCTGACACTCAGAGGGTGGGGACCACTGACTACTTAAGCACTGTCCAGTGTGACCTCATCTGCAGCAAGTACTGTCCACTCTCTTGATCCTCATAAAAAGCCAGCGGCTATGCCCACACTCCACACGATGGAGGGCAGATTATCAGGACTGAGTGTGACCACACTCTGGGAGGACCACGGGCCAGGGCTACCAGCAAAGCCTGGGCCAGGAGGGCAGGGAGAACCTAAGATGTGCCTGTGGAACCATTGTTCAGACACCCATCCGTGCTGGGGACGCAGACAGGACAGAGTGGCCGCAGGGCAGGAGGGACACTCACAACCGTGGCTGGGGCCAGGGCTCCAGTGTGTGTCTCACTGTGACAAAACACCGGGGACACCAGCTTGCATAGTGTGCGGGTTGGTGCAGGCCACAGCCCCAAAATTTCCATCTGTATCCACGGGTTCCATGGCTCTGGACCTGTGGCAAGCAGCGCAGCTGGTGGGCTGCGTGGTGCAAAATCCAGCTCACTATCGGGGAGCAGAGAACCAGGGTCCCACAGCGCCCCTGGCAACAGGGCCAGGGCCACCTGGAGTCCAAGCTCAGAGTCCCTGGGGCCTGCAAGCTTGAGCCAGAGCAGCAGGCAGCGTTCAGGAGAAATGCAGAGTGCCTGGATTCCGGAAGTCTCTCAGGGAGGCAGTGCCGCCCCAGCCAAGGTTCTCCTGGGGGTCGGAGCCCTGTCCCCACGTCTCTGTTTCCTACCCACTGTGGCAGGGACAGCGACAGACGTCAGCCTTGCACTGTGCGTGGGTTCTAACGTGTTCTCCTGTGTTTTTCCCAAGATGAGATTCTAGTCCAAGAGATTTTGGAAAGAAACAAATCAAAACTTCCTGAACTTCCTGACCTTCCTGAACTACATACAACAGCAGTAGGGGCACTATTAGAAAAAATCCTCACAAATAAAAGCAAGTATACGGTTTTCTCCCATAATCTGTGTCTCTGGGCACTGGGGTACTGGCCATAAGACCCATGACCCGGGGATCCGGGAGGCCCCCTGCACGTGGGTGAGGGTGAGGGAGAAGGGGAGCAGCTGGCCCAGCCCTGCCCCGGGCTCCGGGGGAGGAAGTGAGAGCCAGGCAGTGGGTGGCGCAGCCCCACCGGGGCTGGTGAGCGCACCGCCTGCTCTGGTGCCCGGCCGCCCAGGACGGGCACACTGAAATGACAGCCTGAGTGTCCACACGCTGCCATCCCCACGGCCAGCTGGCCGGCTCACCTGCGGCTCTGAGAGACGGGTGGTCCTCTGCCCCACCGCTCGGAGGAAAACCGAGGCCAGCAGGGCTCGGCCGAGGTCACCTGGGAGCCCCGAACAGAGAGCGAGCTCCCCAAAGCCGGCCCACGTGGGCAGACCCTTCAGGGAGGGCACTGAGACCGAGGGAGAGACTCGGGGATGGTTGCCGGGGGAGAGACTGGCACCTCGGGAAGGCGCAGAGGCAGGAAGAGGGGGTGCTGTCTGGAAACTTTGCACCCAGACGCGAACTCTACAAATTAGTGTGGTTCACCGGATGCCCAGCAGGCCCACAACCTGGGCAGCCAGACAACCCCGACTCAGTTTAGGCATTAACTTCCAGACACACATTTGCAAACAGAACTTGACAACTTTATTGTTATCCTAACCTAATACTTTTAAGTAAAGCATGGGCTAAAACATCCACAAGAGACCTTTCCCCATGTTCTTCATCAAAGATGCTGAGATGGATAAGATTTACCAAGCTGATGGTTCTGAGAATTACCAGGAATTGCTAGAGAATTTATAATTCTCTTCAAGCAATGAGAGCAGAAGTGGTAGACACGCCCCTGCAATGCCCTGCCTGAGCTGAGAACATAATGAGAGACAGACAGATGGGCAGACTGAAACCCTTTGCGGGTAAGGGTGCAACTTGGCTGAAGGTTGCAGCTGCTGCGCCTGAGGGAGAGCCTGCACCCGCTGACTTTCCAGACCTGTTTTCAGATAAAACTTGAGAATGAAATTAGCTTGTGATTTGCCATCAACACATAAATGCCCCGGTGTCCCAAGTGTGTAATCAAGACAGTTTCCGTGTTCTAACGTGTTCTCCTGTGTTTTCCATGTTCTTCTCTAAAGCAAACACTGAAGACATCCCTCACCGCATGGTTCCTGAGAGCAGCCACGAGCCGCAGCTCCCTTCTGGAGGTGAGCACAGACTGCGTGGGTGGGTGCTCAGGCCACACCTGCCAGGCCCCGAGGCTGGGGACACAGCACAGGCGGCATCCTCGCCCCTCCCAGGCTGTCCGCTCGGCAGCCCAAAGTCCTCCATCGGTAGTTTGAACAGCTCCTATTGTAGGGCTGCCTTTAGGTTCCCTTTGTACACATGTCCTGCCATTCCCACTCTGTCTGTGAGGTTTTTGGTTGTTTATCCTCAACATCTAAGAGCTTTATTTTTAAGAATACTAAACCTTTGAAATGCATGTTGCAAGTACATTTTAATCTATCATTTGACTTTTGATGACATTCATGCAAAAAAGGGTCAACTTTTGTGTTGTCAAAATTGCCAGTATTTCATTGCCTTCGGTGTGTGGCCACAGCTAGGAAATCTTTCCCTCCCCAGAGACCAAGGAGAGATCACTGTTTCCCTGTGCTAGTTATGTGACTTCGTCTGCCCCAAGCAGTCTGTGACATAGAGGGAGTTTATCTTCAGGTCTGGCGTGAGTCTTCCTATTTTGTCTTCCTACAGATGGCTGCCCGTGGGTCCCAGTGTCCTACCTGCCAGGCCCCTTGGGTCACGAGGCCCAGTTGCCACGTGACAAGTTTCTATCATGCAGTGTCTCTTCCCAGCCACGCGTCCCTGCTCCACTCTCCCCTGGGTTCCGAGTGCGGCCTCCTCTTCTTTTATAGTGCTCTGCTTGCTTTTCAAGTGGAAGTAATGTGTTTAATCTCCCTTGTTTTAAGTTTGGCCTTTTTACTGTGATTTATTATTTTCATAAAAAGTTAAGAAAGAACCATCATACTTCAGGTGTTCTTTGCAGGAACAGATGACATCTTCCTGCTCAGTCAAGTCTACCTTTGTGTCTTTGGATTTTCCTTGTTCACCCACTGCATTTTTCACATCTGGTTTATTCCTAAGCATACAGTCATCTTTGTTGCTGTTTCACACGAGCTTTTTCCTGCTATTGCTTCCTTTGGCCAATTCTCATTTGTGTAAACGAATACAGTTGATTTCTGGAAGTCACTTTTCATCCTGCTGCCGTGTGGAATTCCAGCATCTTTGGAGGTAGCCTTGCCACTGCCCAGAACGTCCCAGATGTGTGTACCACCACCTCTGAGGCGGAAAGATTTTCTCCTTTCTCAGTGTCTGTGTCTCACTGATATCCCCTGCCTAGGCTGTCCTGGCCAACATACCTAGCACAAAGTTCAGCAGGGGTAGTTAATGGGTATCTCCGCCTATTTTGTGATTTTGGTGTCTATCCCATAAATAAGATGCTGGCTTTACAATGGAGGAATTTGTGTTTTAGCCTGTGAAGAAAGCACCCAAAAGAAAGCTTCTTTTGCATCTCGACAGTCTTTTGCATCATCTTTGGAAATAATCTTGTTTTCTCTTTACACACAGTAACATGTTGAATGACATTAGTAGATTACCAAAGATTGAACTGACCTTGCATTCCTGGGATAGATCCCACTTGGTTATGTGGTATAAATTTTTTCTGGCACTGGGGTTTAAACCCAGACCCTTCACATGGACCTCCATCTCCAGCCCTTTTTAAATTTCTTTTAATTTTTGAGACAGAGTCTCAATAACTCACTAAGTTGTCCAGGTTGGGCTTGAACTTCCAATCCTCCTGCCTTAATTTTCCAGAGTGCTGGAATTATATATGTATACCACCATGCCTTGCTATGTTGAATATTTTATTAAAATGGTATTGGATCTTGCTTACCAATGTTTTATTTAGCATTTTACATCCAATTACGTTAATCTGTGGGGTTTTTTTATTCTTTATCAGGTTGAAGTGCTTTATACTTGCTTTATAAAAAATAACATTTTCTTTTCTTCTTTCATTCTCTGGGACAGTTGCAGCCCTAGAAGCATTTTAACTTCTCAGGTTTGTTAGAATTGCCATGCGAAAGTATCTCAGCCCTTCGCTTTCCCAAGCAGCAACCCCTTCAAATCGTTTTTGGAAATTTGATCTGAGCGGGTTTTTTTCTTCAAACAGACTCAATTTTGGTCAATTTTGACCTCTATTTTCTTGGAACTTTATCTACTTCTAAGTTTTCAAGTTATCTGCATAAACTCCTTCAGATTGTTTCATGACCTTTAAATTTTGGTTTCCATGGTTATCTCCCCTTTGTCTTTTCCTATTTTATAAATGCTTTTACTTTCTCAATTAAGTAAGCATGCATTTTGTCTTGATTAATGTTTCCCCAAAACCCAGCACTCTTCTACAGTAACTCTGCTGTCTTCCATTCTCTACCCGCTTAATTTCTGCCGTTGTTATTAACATTTTCTTACTTATGCTACTTCACGGTTTACTTTGTTGCTCTTTTTCTGGCTTTTAGATCTGGTTAATTCTTTTATTTAATCTTTTTATTTTACCAGTAAGTGTTTAATGGTGCTCTTCTTTCAGTGTATTCTATAAGGTTCTCATTTATGATACTTTAATTAGTCATTATTCCCAGAAATACTATCAATTTAGTTTGTATTTCCCTTTTCACAAAAAGTTTTCTAATAAGAATATGCTCTAAGTTCCAGGTGGCAAGGCCTCTCTTTTTGTTTGTGGCCTCTAGTTTTACTGCACTTGAATAACGATGTGCTATTTATAATACTGCCACTTTGGGAGATTCACTCATGGTAACCAAACACATAATCAGTTTTTGTGGATATCCCATGAGCGCTTGTAAAGAAAATGTGTTCCCCAGCATGGAGATGTCCAGGGAATGCAGAGTATGTTCAGACTTTCTACCCCATTGATCATGCTGTTCACCTTCCTCGCTCCTTACTTACGTTTAATCCATTTAATCTTTAATTGAGAACAGTGCATAAAATTCTCCTATTAAAATGCTTTTCTGGGGCCAGGGATATAGCTCAGTGGCACAAGTGCCTGCCTGGCAAGCGCAAGGTCCTGAGTTCAATTCCCCGTACCAAAAGAAAAGTAAACAAATAAAATGCTTCTCTGTAAATGTCCCTGCATTTTCTGTACTTTCTGCTTCATCAGCATTATTTCTATGACTCGGTGTGCAGATTTTCCTGAGTGCTAATCTTCCTGTGGACACTGGCTTTTGGTGTTAGAAAGAGCCTCTCAGTGCTTTAGGAGTGGATTTCACTTTCTGCGGTACCAGGGTCACTGCCTCCGGTTTCTTTTTGTTTCTCATAAATGTCATAGATCTTTGCATATTTCTCTGTTATCTTTTCAGCTGACCATCTGTATTTTAATACATTTGCTTTCTCTTCCACTTCCTCACTATGGTTAAATGCACGTAACAGAATTTACCAGTGCAACCACTTTTAACTGTGCAGTTCCACAGCGTCCTACGCAGTCACTGTGTCCCACAACCGTCACACCCCCTGTGTCAGTGACCCCTTCCACCCTGGCTGAAACTCTGCACTGTCACGCACTCCTTTCCCAGCCCAATCCCCTACCCCCGGCGACCACCAGGAGCATCTCTCTTAGGCGTGTGACACCCCCCCAGCCACCTCATCTAACCTGACATACTTATTTTTGTGATTGGTTTATTTCACTATTTCATTTCCTCAAGGTTCAGTATATTACAGAATTTCCTTGCTCCTTAAGGCTGAGTAGTCTGCAAGTCATATAGCTCATAAAGAAAACATACCCAGAATATTTAGAGAACTCCTAACATTCACCAGAAACAACCAGCCCAATGCAGAGTGGGAAAGGATTTCCTCCGAAGAAAATGTGCAAGTGGGAATCATCACAAGAAAAGATGTCCATTCCGTGTCACTCTTCATTAGGAAAGTGCAAACAAGGACACACCTCTCACAGAAGGACACTACTTTAACAAAATAAGAGGCACAAACGTCAGGGAGGAGGTGGAGCAGGAGGAAGCTGTGTGCATCATGAGCAGGAGTGGAAACTTGTGTGGCCACCGTGGGACGGCGTGGAGCTCCCCACAGCTGAAAGGCAGCATTGCTGCGAGACCGGGTGATTCCACTGAAGTGAGCGGACCTGCAGGACTGAAGGCAGAGTCTGCACATGCGTGTTCACAGCAGTGCTCTCACACCTGCTCAGGCAGGGCAGCGGCTCCAGTGCCCACTGGCGAGACAGTGGGTCCACGCACTGTGGGGGCGATTCTTGGTTCCTCACCCCTCAGCGTCACTTTACACATGTACACTTGGATCTTACTTTCTAAGGAAAATTTCTTCTTTCAGTATTTTTTTTTTTTTTTT